AAGATATATTTTTTGTTTGTTTTTTTGGTCCATACAATTGAAGTCAATGGTCACCAAAACTTTGGTTAGCCCCATTCTTCAAAATACATTTTTATGTTCCACAGAAGGAAGAAAGGTCTACAGATTTCGAACAACATGAGAGTAAATGGTGGCAGAATTTTAATTTTTGGGCGAACTATCCCTTTATCCTTTTGTGTATGTTTTTGGACAGTGGAGTTCCTCTTCTGGGGATCAATGTGTCTCACACACCTCAGCAAGATGGCAGAGGATCTGATTTTGTACAGTACCAAGGAATTCTCCTTCATCACTTTGACTGATGCATACAGGTGAGGACAGCATATGATCCAAAATGGGAAGTGAGTCAACACCGAGACCAGAGAGAGTCGAGTCCGAGTCAAGACCGAGTCCATAGAGAGTCGAGTCCGAGTCGAGTCCGAGACCAGAGACGGTCGAGTCCGAGTCGAGACCGAGACCAGTGAGGGTTGATTACCTAATTTACTTTTATTTACTTAGAGAAATCCTTTTTTTTTTTTTTTTACTGAATTTACTTAGAGTTTAAAAAATATGATCAGTTTAGGGTAAAAAGGCCACATAGTAGGTGGTGTTAAAAGTAATTTTATTACAATTTGTCATGTGCAGTTGCGCACTAGAAAATCAAATATTTTATTAACATACATTAATAATCATGAAAAATATTTTCAATTGAACTCGAGTGGACTCGGGAATAACTACGAGTCCTAAAAAAAAAATGTTCGAGTACGAGTCAATTCCGAGTCCAAATGGACACGAGTCCATGACAAGACCAAGACCATTAAAATATGGTCTCGAGACCGAGTCCGAGTCTCGAGTACTACAACACTGCATATAAGAGCTCTTGGCTGACGGTTCTAATCCCATTCCGGTCTGTGTTTTACTGTCCAGCCAATGAATACAAAAAAATGTTTCTTGAACAGCACATCAGCATATTCGAATGATTTCTGAATGATCATGAAAAGTACTGATGCTAAAAAATGTAAATAGTCAAGTTACTTTAAATTGTAATAATATTGTAAAATAACTGACTGTTTTTTTTGTTGCAAACTTGGTGAACAAAAAATACTTTCAAAAGCATTAAATAATCTTACCCTTCAGATTGCAGATTTAAATGGGACTGAATTTGACATACTGAGCCTTCTTTTTGTTATTAACCTAACATTTTGCCTAACTGTTTGAACTCGAGAATGTGTCGTGTGTAGGCCCCAATAATAACCCATAATGTCACAGCAGACAGAGATCATTAATTTGAAGCCCTTGGGTTAACTACATTTTTCCTTACATGTTCTGCATTAGTTTTTACCCCACTAGCCACGATTGCAAATTTTCGTCATGAAACTGTAGGAGCTGCTGGCTTGTGCTTTAGGCAGAATTGCAAAAGAATAGGTCTTGTTTCAGATTACTTTTATGATGCACTTGCAAAGCAATGTCAGTGAGTCAGTGTGTGAACATGACATGAACGCATGCCATTACACACTTTCTGTTGTCGGAGCAAATCAATTTTATTCTCATACTATAATTCTTTATGGCCTGTGAAGTTTTAAGTGTGTTAACATTAACTGATGTTGAAGCTGGTACTGACCTTAGTTAACAAGTAAATGCTTGCTAAAAAATAATTATTACCTATATATTAACACCAAAACCGTGCTAGGAAAAGCTGACCATCTGCCACAGAATGCAGGATTCAAAGAGGTTGTCTTAATTGTCGGATGACACTCAACACAGTTTAGTTTATAAAGCACTTGCCCAAAGAAAACCAAACATAAAGACAAACAACATAAAATACTAATATTTAGTTCTCTCCTGGGTCAGACTCAGAAGCCAAGATGTAAAAGTGGTTCATCAAAGCCATTTTAATAGCATTCAAAGTAGGGGTAGAGCGAATGGAGAGCGGTAAGGTTCGGTTATCGTAAAGAAACAATCTCCTTTTCGCTTGAGTTGGGGCCGCGGTACCTGAAACAAAAGTTTATCGCCCGATCTAAAAATTGTTACTGGCTGGTGTAGAATAACAAGATCTGACAGAAAAGAGGGAGTGAGACCAGTTAAAATAAAAAAAAATATTAACACGAACTTGAAGGGAGCGATATCTGATTGGTAACCAACCATTGATAAAATCTGAGTGATTCTGTCCCTCTTTCTCATACCGGTCAATAGTGTAGCAGCGGCATTTTGAACCAGCTGCAATCGATTCATCAATGCCTGGGAGAGTCCTAAATACACAACATTCCAATATTCCAGTCTGGGTGATATAAAAGAATGGATGATTGGCTCCAGATCTCTACATGAAAGGATAGATTTTATCTTAGCAATTAACCTTAGGTAGTAAAAACTAGTTTTCACCACAGCGTTAACTTGTTTTGCAAAATTCAAATCTGAATCAAAAAAAAATATACCCAGATATTTTGCGTATGGGTGTAAATTTCTAGAAAAAAAAATCACGATTTTATCCCATTTTTCTACCCGGGTAGATTCGAACCCGGGTCTCTCACACCAAAGGCATGTGTCTTATCCACTGCGCCATCACAACCCCATGAGATAAGGCAGAACCGATAGCAAGCCAGCAAACAACCCGGCGTCAAGTGGCCTTGGGACACAGAGACTGTGAACATGAGCTGGCTGATTCAGTCCACTTCTACTTTGTATGTGTGTCTAGTGTGTGTAGCTAATCAGAGCTGTTGTATTTATGTTTGTGAGTGCAGCACTGGGAGCAGTTTAATGCCTCAGAAGAAGAACGCAGACAGCCTGGAGCTCATTCGCAGCAAAGCAGGACGAGTGTTTGGCAGAGTAAGATACAACACTGACTAATGAAACCAGCACGATACATGGATAATCACGTCATTAAAAGAACTGCCCTTATGATTAAGGTCAATCTATAGCAAATTTAATAATTAGTACTAGGGCTGTCCATTGAATGGTACTATTAATTTAGGGATGCACAATATAATGGTACCTTATTGGTTAGCGGATAATGGATATGCAATAGTGCGTGCTTATTTCTTCTGTTTTTGAATTAACTGTCACATTAATCTTTAAAAACATGAATCACTGAATAACATTGTTAGATTTTCTCTAGAAAATCATAAAATGATTTATTAGGTGTCTTTATCTACTATGTAATCCTTTGATTCAGTGCACTTATTATGTACATACATGTTTTTACATTGTACTTATATTTAATGCAGCTGTAATGATTTTCTGTAATTACATCTAAAATTATACTGTTGAACCTTCCCTTACACCTTACATGCCATCAAACCTGTCCCTAACCTTACCAGCATCACACCTCCATGTTTTGCAATACAATATGAGCACAATGCGTACATGGTAGTTAAGGACACCTAATATAAGTTGTGATCGATTATTCATTTTTCATTCAGGACTGTACATTATAATGTTGTAATGCCTGAATTCACTTTAAAAGGGATCATATTTAAGAACACAGATAAAAATATATATATACGTTAATATTGACAATTTATCGTTATTGGCCATAACATAAAATTAACTATAACATTTTCAGCCAGAATTCATCCCTAGATTAATCTGAAGAAAGTAATATTACAATTTTTATAAGGTTAAATATATTATTTAATAACATGATCAAATATTAACACTCAAATTTACAGTTAACAATTGAATCTAATTTAAATTTCATTGTAATAGTTTGCAGGGTTTCTGATGACTCTCAAAGGCTTACCCAGCACATACAACAAAGACCTACAGGTATGTCCATAACAGGCAGAGAATGTGATTATTTTGCTCTCGACTGTCCTCTGATTATATTTTTATCACTGCAGGAGGATAAGGAGGCCATGTTCGACACATACGATACAGTATACGCTGTGCTGCAGGTGGCTACAGGTGTCATCTCAACTCTAAAGGTAAGAGACGGGTTATACTACAAGTTAATGTGGCTTTGTCATGGACAGTGGCAATCAAGAACAAAACTGTTCCCTTGTTTAAATAAGCCAGTATTTCTATGTCTATAGCCAGGCATGTATCCATTGTCAGTCTTCAATTTGGCCAACTTAACGAATTGTTTTCTATTTCCTGAGTGGTAGATCTTAAGCACTCATACTTTACCATTGCTCAGGTCAACCAAATGACGATGGAAGCGGCCCTCAGCCCGGATATGCTGGCCACTGATCTTGCCTACCACCTGGTCAGAAAGGGAGTGAGTCCATCAATTCATCTACCTATAGTATATAGATTTTGTGTTTCAATTGAGCTGAATGAAATCTGATCTATATACACGTATATTAAAGATGCCTTTCAGAGAGGCCCACAGTTGTGCTGGAAAAGCCGTCTATATTGCAGAGACTAAGAAAATCAGTCTGTCTGAACTGACTTTAGAGGACCTTCAAACCGTCAGGTCAGCAGGCACATTAAAACAATAATGGCATATAGAAGTATATAGAATTTTTATTCATTCTTTATTTATTTGTTTCTATCTTTCTCTCCAGCCCTTTGTTTGACAAAGACATTTCTTCAGTGTGGGACTACGTCAGAAGCGTTGAACAGTACAGCGCACCCGGTGGCACAGCGAGGAGTAGCATCACGGCTCAAATCGAGCACTTTAGAAGCTGGTTACAGGCACAAAAACAGTAAGCAGTAGGTGCTCTTTCTTCTGAGATGAATTTGGCATGTTATGCCTGCTATTATCTCATATCATCACAGATTCAGTTAAAGTCAAGGGTTTGCCTGTATGTTACATTTAAGGACAGTTTCATTGGTTCAGAATAAGGATTTTACATGACAAAACGTGTATAATGAAATGTACTTACATTTGAATAAATCATTTGTGCAGTCACTTCATTTAAAGTTTTATTAACATCTTTGGAAACATACGTAATGTACAACTTAAACATCACATGCATATAAAGGCATATTAATTGTTTAATCATCAAATCAAAGCTGTATGAAACACTCAATTTACAGGGTTTTATATTTATTAATTTAGTTGACGCTTTTATCAAAAGCGACTTACAATCGCTATATGTGTCAGAGGTCGCACGCCTCTGGAGCAACTAGGGGTTAAGTGTCTTGCTCAGGGACACAGTGGATTCGAACCCGGGTCTCTCACACCAAAGGCATGTGTCTTTTCCACTGCGCCATCACCACCCATGAAAAATGTTTTCCAGGAAACATCTGAGATTTAAAAAAAATGGGCATTTCCAGGCCTGGAAAATCACGAAAATTTGGAAAATTTATCCAGTGAATTCATCTTAGTGGAGGTTCAGAAAGCTTCAAACAAGCCACGTTCACATCCCAAGTGGTTTTGTTTAGTATTTTGAAGACTTTATTTGTACAATGACAACACAAACCTCCTTAAAAAAACTTCAAATGCAGTAATCATGAACAATTGAGTCATGGAAAACAGGTAGAATTCCTGAATTTTATAGAAGTCGGATAACGTTTAAAGGAGAATGTGAGTAGACATGAAAAGAGGTTTGAGTGAAACAATTTATAGTTGTGAACAAATAATTACAAATAATAATGTGGTCAGGTTTCACAGCCTTAGCATGGTGGCAATGATCCATTCCATTAACTTCAGTTCAGTGCTTGAAAGATTTATTCGCTGTATTTTGTTTGTGGAAATTGGAAACAGAACATCCTGTGTTAAAAGACACATGTTCTCTACCATTCAGTAAAACACACACCTTTGTTGTCCAAAAACACAAAAGAGGCACAGAAACAGGGTGATTAGATTGGGCAGGACACACAGACAGTGAGATTTCACAGACGTGTAAACAACTCGTCCATTCAGATTCTGCACAGGACGGAATATTCCAGTCATTGGTTTTTCTGATGCGAATAACAGCTGTTTATACATTGACATCAGCTAAAGTAGAAAAAGAAAGATGGCCAAAAGGATCAGTACTCTTGGATTAAACTGCCTTTCCATAATTATATATACTTAATTGAGATCTCCTACAGTTATTCAATCATGTTTATTGGCAAAATGTACAGACTTTCAGCGGTTTGCAATGAACAAATCAAATAAAAGTAATAGCTCAACAAAACAAATGTTTTAAGGGGTTTCCCCAATTTCAATTGAAAATGCAACTTTTAATGACTTCTGGAGTCTCAAAATGATTCAACCCCCTGAGTAGAATCCCTCACAACAACAATAATCAAGGGCTTCATTAGTTGCACCAGGTGTGCTTGAGCTAGAACACATGAAATAGGTTTGTTGAGTGTTAGTTTTGACTGGAAATATGGCAAAATAATTAAAAGAATGGCCCAAAAGGTTAAGAGAAGATTTCATCACCGTTCACAAACAAGGAACCGGATACAACAAGGTAGCGAAGCCACTAAATGTTCCTAGAGACACCGTTTGAAGCATAGTTCGCAAGTTCAAAGGTAAAGGAACAATGGTTGAATGGGGCAGAAAAAGGAAACTATCAAAGGCTGCAACCAGATTTCTTCAGAAAAACCCTTGAGAGACTGCAAAGGACCGGGAGGAAAGGCGGTTGCGGCACGTAAACCCAAGAATATTACTGAACTGGTCTGTAGACCATTGTTAATGAGGAATTGGCTAAGATTCCTTAGAAACACTGCCGGAAGCTGAAGTCTAGTTATACATCTAGAAGGCCATAAAGCTAATGGGTGTTCTACTAAGTACTAAAGATGCTTGCCATTAAGGGGTTGAATAATTTTAGGACTGCTGAAGTCATTCAAAAGTGGCATTTTTAGTTGAATTTATGGAAACCACCGGAAAATTTTGTTGTGTTAAGCTATTTCAATTACTTTTGCTTGATTTGTTAATTGCAAGTATGACTAAAATTTATATCTTAGTCTGGTTTATGCTAAAAATGATCTCTGTACCTGATTTTTGCTTATGGGCAGAGTCTTATGGAAGACCGTCCACACAACAGACTGGTCACAACCTGGTGTGGTCAAGGAACCCGAGTAGCGATAGTAGCTCAGTGAATCGGCTTGAGGGACGATGTCAGCCAGTCTAAAGTCTTCAATTTCAGTGCTGTTCCCTTTTGATCAAATTGCATAATGTGGAACCAAAAACAGACAATCAAAACATGTTAAATAGATAAACGAATCAAAAATGAGAAATCCAGATTATGTAGTCTTTCATCCAGGTGGATGCTGCACACTGGTGGTGGTTGAGGAGATTCCCCTCTCTATGTAAAGCGCTTTGAGTGCCGAGAAAATATATAAATGTAATGAATTATAATTAATTATTAAAAGTACTTACCTTCATATCTGACTTTTCCTAAAGCCTCTATAATTCTATCAAGCTTTTGGTTTTTCTCTGAAGACATCTAATGGGGGATGACAAAAGTCTGTGTTTTATTAGTTATTATCAGCATGGTTTATTAAAGGGTTTATATTTCACCCAAAATGGCTGCAAAGTGAATGGTGAGGACTGGGGCTGTCAAGCAGCAAATGACAAAAATTATGAGCCATAAAATGTCATAAAAGTAGTCCGTATTGAAGCTATTTGATAACATTGTATGAGGTCAAAATGGAAATAATTTGTGTCCCATAAATGAAGAGTTCAGATGCAAAAGCCTCTAAATGCCATTTGAAATTTTCCTCTTTAATGATGATTTTTACCAAACTTGTATGTTTAAGTTCAGTAATTTCACTTAAATGGCAATGATAATTACCTATTAATTGTTATTTAAGTGAAATTACTGAACTTAAATATACAAGTTTGATAAAAATCATCATTAAAGAAGAAAATTTCAAATGGCATTTAGAGGCTTTTGCATCTGAACTCTTCAAATATTTATTTTTTTGTTGTTGTTAAAACCCAGTCCTCATTCACTTTCATTAAATGGAAATTCTTCATAAATTGAAGAATGTCATTGTCATTTTGAAAACAATAGGTTTTTTCAATTTTGGGTGCGGGATTACCAGTATTATAGCTAGCCAACACTAAAACCATAAAAAACGTTTGTTACTTGAAATAAAATAAACTTCAAGTGAAATAAAATAAAGTTTTAAATTCAACTCAAAATGTAGTTTAACTTCATGTACTAAAAAAACTAGGTAACACTTTAGTTTAAGGTCAAATTCTTAATTTTAACTGGATGCTTGTTAACATGCATTTTACTATAGGATATTTGCTGTTTATTAGTACTTATAAAGCACATAATAATGCCTTTGTCTGCATGACCATATTCAACGTACCTTAATCCAACCCTAAAACAACTTAAACTTAAAAATTTAACAATAATTTGCAGTTTATTGAGGCAAAAGTACTAACTGAATAAAATAAATAAAATAATATATATATATATATATATTAAACTTATAATGAAATAAACAACAAAAATACTAAAACTTTAACTAAAATTTAAACTGAATATAAAAATAAATTAACAAAAACTAAATAAAATTAGACTAAATTGAAATAAACAAAAACTAAAATAGTATCTCAATAATATTAAAATAGCGCTGGGTGAACTATCCCTTTAAGAGCTTGTGTTCAGTTGATTTCCTCACATTATTTAATATTTATTTAATTAGTATAATTATGAGACAAAATATCAGAAAGGCATCAGTACCTCAAAAAAGAAGCCAAGTGCTGCCACCCCCGTAGAGTCATTTAGAGCCATACTCAAGTTGTTATACTTTTCTTTAATGTGAATAATGTGGAGCTGGAAGGAAAAATGCATAATGAATACCATCATAACTTATCTTAAAACAATAATAGGCTTGATTTGCATTTAATCCTCCAATTATCCTTGACTGTGACGTGGACTCTCACCTCCATGGGATAACGCTCTCCGTCCACAGAGTGCTCTGAGCCCTGGCCCCCGTCCTCTCCCCAGTGCAGGTGGAACTGGACAGCCTTGTATGTGTCTGACAGACCCCCGCCACGGAGACGCACCGATTGAGGGAGTGTAAAGTGAGCTGGGAAGAAGTATAGAGCATGTTATCATACGTAACTGTAAGATTACAATATTCAAACGTCAATTGAATTGCAAATGTTGACAAAAATTGACAATTCTTGTTTTTTTATGGAATATTTCAGTATTTATCTGTGCTCATCAGTATTTTTATTTTTTTTTAATTTGGTGTGCCCTTGTAAAGCCTAATTTCTTCTCTGAAAACGAGGGCAGAACAACCTGTCAGATCAAAACAATAGCAAACCACAACCATCCAATCAATTCCCGATGGACAAAATCAAATTCCACCCTACATTTTTTCTTGTTTGAGAAGCCATTTTACTCAGATACACGTCACAATATAGAAAAGACTATTTCGTAAGTTTTGTTTCATGTTTGTCCACTTTTAAATGATAGTTTGTTCCTGCTCTCACATTGTTCCAAACCCTTAAGACTCAAGACTCATCTTTGAAACAACACTGTAAATATTTATGATCCATAAGTTATGACATCATATATTTTTAAATTGCTTCACTTTTTTTTAAGTCAGTTTAATGTCATTTAAGTTGAAATTACTTCAACATCCAAGTTGATTGTACTTGTAAATTTGATTTCCGTCCCTCCATTCAAATTCCATCCCACGGAAACTTTCACAATAAAAAAGTTTATGAAGAGTAATCCACGTTTTTATAAACACACACATAGAGCTCATAAAATATGGTAAATGGAAGCTCAAACATATACCAATGAGGTTTGTTCATTCATTTCTTTTACGCTCTCTTATACTTTCTGATGCTTTAAAGTCGGACTTTCAATGGATGGACAAAAGTGATAAAAGCTTATAAAAAACATCTTCATTTGTGTTTTGAAGATGGAATAAATGAAAACAGAATTTACATTTTTAGGTGAACCATCCCGTTAAAGTTTAGTTCCATCTACCTGAATGTCCATGATTTTCCACACTCATATTGAAAATGTCCTCATGACCATCGAAGGTAAAACCGGTCAGTTTTGGGTCATGCTTCACTTTGCGTGTGATGATATTGATGGGCGATTGATTTGGACCTCCACACTGAAGATACTTTTGTTTCCACTCTGAAGGCCCTGGATGACACAAATGGAAAACACATTTTTATATCTGTATACGAACAAGGACTTTGCTTTAGGGATGATGACAATGCAAAAATTTGAGCCCCAGTTCTCACCTGTACACTTGCTGTCACAGGACTGGCTCTCGTAGCACCACTCGCCTGGAACAGACAGAAAAAAACTGGACCACTTTTGGAAAGTATTTAAATCCGTGACTCGAAGCCAAGGTTCAGAGCCAATTTTGAGGTGGTCATTAACTAACAAATTTGTTTATTTTGTGGCCATATAAAGTTATGCTTTGATTCACAAAGTTTTTCCTGATAATCAGTGAGCCATCTAACAGAGTTCCCCTCCTGATCACCAGGTTTGATCGAGAGCAGGACATGTGCTTGAATGCAAAGGCACCTTAAATGTTCTCATATTACTCACTGTCCACCTGTGCACTTTCAACCCATTCAACTTGGTTTGCACAAGAAGAAAATTCTCTTATCATTTACTCAAGTTGTCGCAAACATGTATGAATTATTTCTTCATTATTTTGTTTTTTTTTAAGTTTAGCATTTGAATTTTTTGTTTCCAAGTAAACAGTTGTTCTTCATTGCAGTGAACAATGTTGCAAATAAAAACTTGTTCTGTTGTTCTGAAGCTGACATGGCATCTGCATGTATTACATCTGCATCTGTCCTGTAAGCACTAGCATGTGAAATCTTAATGCACAACACAAGGTGACCTCTGTTAAAAAATAACCTGTCTGGATTCAGCAACCCAAGATGCACTGCGGTATAGGCTAGATTAACCAGTGTCAAAGCAAAATCTCTTGTGCAGCAATACATTGCAACTTGAACTTGATATGTGCAAGCATCATATTGAAGTCCCTCTTTTACATTAAAAATATATATATATTATCTGGAGGTTAGTTAACTAGTATGCCTAGTGCCTACCTAAAAATGCACAAACATCCATACAACAAAAGACACACTTTATACATTTTGCATCTACCTCTACTTTTGGATTATAATTATTTTTAATTACCTCACAATGGTTAAGCAAGTGGACAGGACTTGCCACATAATTATGTGACAGATAATCATAACTATCTACATTAAATGGGTTATATGGCTTTGTTGTTATAAAGGTCTATGTAGGCAACATAAAGGTTATCTTTTATAGTCCCGAAGGTAAATTAGTAAATTAACTTTGACTCTGTTGTTTATGGGTCATTAATAGACAAGCCATTTGTCATATTCACAAAAGTGCGCATTTATTTGCAGGCTGCAGACTCCACTTATTCACGTCATTTTCACGTGATCGCGCCCGCTCTGTTCCGCGTGCCCAGCCTCTATGCTGTGTTACTGTACCTAGAAGGCAAAATTGTGAAGGGATGGAAGTTGTATGTTTGCGCCGTACAGGTACGAATCGCTTTCTAATTTTAGCTGATGATCATTATTATGTAGCCTTTTAAAAAAAAAAAACTTAGATGCGTAACCGAATAAAAATGGTTGGGATATGGAACTGGTTTGAATTATTTCCTTAACTATTTATCATGTCGTTTACAAGTTGATTAATTTGTAATGCCAATAGGCTGGCTGTGCCATTTAGAATAGGCTTATAATGTGTCACTTGTGTTAAAAAAAAAAAACGCTAATAGACGCATGTTTAGTGGCAATCTGACTTTTGGACTGCTGAAACTGTGAAATCATACCGCATTATTGTGAATATCATGTTGATGTTTCAGCATGTTGACGACTATTTAAGTTGTGGCGGTTCCCAAATAGCCTAGGCTACCAATAATAGCCCACGATAAAACTGTATCTTTATTTACACGTTGTAATTAACAACTCACGATGCTAGAAACAGTAACGTTCCGGTTCATTTCGAAGTTTGTGTGAACTCGTAACATGAACGATTCACTTTCACAATCACATCATTGCTGGCGTTAATCATCGTTGCGTACAGACAGGTGTAGCCTATCTGACGAAACATAACATGGATGCATTGCACACAACGTTTTCGAGACTGCCTATATTTTAAACAGTTTTTGTACATATTTATTTTATCATAGTTTGGAGCACTAAAGGATTAATTATATTTAAAAGATACAATACAATGGTAGCTACTCAAAACAAAAGTTACCCTACCGAATATTGCATTTGTACAATTTATTCTAAAAACTGTATCAAATAAGATTATATTTATTTAGAAATATATGGTGACGCTTTAGATTACAGATTAGATTTAGATTAGCCCAGAAAGTACTGTGTAATTAAGAGGAATTTACAGAGTAACTTTCGGTAATTAAATGTTCTACAAGTAGGCCTACTTACATGTAAGTATAAGGGAACAATATGTAAAGTTTGATATTTATACTGTAAGTAGGCTATTATCGAACGGGTTCTTATTCTACTATTATGATATAACAATCTTACATTTGGGAGCAATTTAGCAAGAACCTACACTGCATACCTTTTTGTAATAATTAGGGTTGGGGTACGCATTTATACTTTGTATAAAATGTGTTTAAAGTCAAGAAAAGCTAAGAGCATTGCATTTAAAAAAATACTGGGAAATATATCTTGTTTCATGTGGTTACAGGGTAATTGGTGCTTGTATAATAAAGATTTCAGAGTCAGTGATATCAGATTGTATATGAAGAGTTCAGATGCAAAAGCCTCTAAATGCCATTTGAAATTTTCTTCTTTAATGATGATGTTGATCAAACTTGTATATTTAAGTTCAGTAATTTCACTTAAATGGCAATGATAATTACCTATTGTTATTTAAGTGAAATTACTGAACTTAAATATACAAGTTTGATAAAAAATCATCATTAAAGAAGAAAATTTCAAATGGCATTTAGAGGCTTTTGCATCTGAACTCTTCATATGCAGTTTTATTTTACTTACCCTGTAACTACATGGAACAAGAGGGTAACAAGCACCACTACATGAAACAAGAGTATCTTTCCCCAATATTTAAGCAAAAGTTTCAACAGTTTTCATTTTCAGTGCACTTTTGTTAAAAAGATTACTTTATAAATCCATAGATATGTAAAAGCCTATACAGTACAGTAATTCTTAAAGGTACGCAGTGTATGTTCTTGGTAAATTGCTCCCAAATGTGAGATTTTTATAACAGTAGAATAAGAACCCCTTAGTTCTATAATACTTACAGTATAAATATTTGTTTAATTCTCTTGGTTGTTACCGCTTTATTTCCCAAACATAAAATATTGTTTCCTAATAATTATATTGTAAGTACACTATAATTACCCAAGGTTACGCTGTAAAATTGCTCTAATTACGTAGCACTTTCCGGGCTGTAATCTAAAGCGTTACCATATATATTATTTCTATGTAAGACATACCTAAAAAAATGTAGTTGTATTTTGTCAGGCCAAAATTCAGCCTCTTCTTAGAGCAGTCATTCACTCAAATTTATTCAGCCATAGACAACCAGCCAGCCAAAGATGTAGACAGATACATAAAAATATAGACAGATAGATGGATAGTTAGACAGACAGATAGATAGTTACACAGATAGATAGATAGATAGATAGATAGATAGATAGATAGATAGATAGATAGATAGATAGATAGATAGATAGATAGATAGATAGATAGATAGATAGATAGATAGATAGATAGATAGATAGATATTCTATCTTACCTGAGCAGAGCTTTAGAGCCAACAGAACAGATGAGAGAGAGAGAATGGACGTCATGACTACAATACTAATACAGATCTCACTGCCTTGTGTGACAGGAACTATTTTTATATACAGTCAGGGAAAGAAAGGAGGAGAGAGGGAGTGAGAGTTTTACAGAGGTGAAATGACAGGTGTAGGGCAGCAAACTAGGGCATTTGAGGCCCTTGATGAGGACATTAACTCTCACAATACAACCTACAGCCAGTTGAACCTAGTGAAGTTTTCCCTGAACTCTGGCTAAGTGAATTTGCGTTATCTTACAGCCTGTAGAGGGCACTAGTGCCAAACAGAACCCGTTTATCATTCCTGTTGTAGGGCATGTAGTTTTAAACACACTGTAGAGTTTGTCTTTTTGAGGACAGGGCACACACATGCTACAAACCCTCTGCTACACACACGAGGAGAAACGAATGCTCGTTTTCTCTGAGCGACATATATCCGGGTGTCAGGAAATGATTGGACGTTTTGACTCAAGTGACTCTTTTGAGAACGATGAACGATGAGGAACAAGGCGGCCTATCTTGTTAACCATGTTTGTTGCTTTGACACTGAAATCAGTTAGCATGACAAAATCGTCTAATTAGAGATAAGGGAAAACAACAATGCTGCTATCATAAATCACCTCAGCCTTTTTCCGACATAATGAACGCACCCCTTCCCTCTCTCGCTCCTTGACTCTTGCGATGCCGTCTTGGTCTTTTAAAGATGGGAAGCATGAGCTGTAAATTAAATTAATGGTAGCCTCCTCTCAATCATTCATCATTCCAATAAAATGACTGGAGCTGTTGTACTGCATCGTTAAAATGGAGAGACCTATTAAAAAGTCATTAAAGTCAACTCAGCATGAAGGTCTGCCCTGTTGAGCTTTAGCCATGCAGCCAAGATGGAATGACTCCATTTTATGTACATCATATAGCACAAATGTGTGATTATGAGTGAATGAAGTGGAAGGTAAACAGTAGGACAGAGAATTAGAGAAAAGGCTTAAATAGTTTTACTAGGTATAAGAGTGAAAGATCTGTGATGTCTCATTGACTTGACTTCATTATATTACTGTTAGTATTCATAGTTGAGAGCAATTCCACTCAAAAAGATCATTAAAATCAGAAGGTTGCACAAATAATCCTTATCTGTCAGTTTGATTGTATGAGCTGTAAAAGTTCCCTTCATGTTCTATTTTCAGACGTCAATGCTTTTAATTAATATGACATGGTATAACAAGATCTAATTAATTTCATTTACGATCAAATAATTAACTCAAATGCAACAAGAATCTCTAATTTTTATCCCCAAATCACGTCTCTGTAATTGTCTCCTTCCACTTTTAATCCCTACTACTGTAGCTGGTAAATACAATATTTATTGCCTGTGTGTCAAAATGACGTAAATCACTTTGAAACATTATCACTCAATGTTTCAGTTATAATGAACGTTTTTGATTAAGGTAACGTATGTTGTAACAAGCTATTTAGGTTATTCATGGTCTGTTGTAAAAACTTCCTTTTAAAGGTGCAATGTGTAAAAATGTTGAATATCTATTAACAGAAATGCAATGTGAAATGTATAACTGTTTTCAGTGGTGTATCAAGAACTTACTTAATAAACCGTAATGTTTTTATTACCTTAGAATGAGACATTTATATCTACTGGAGAAAAATCCTGGAATGTTTTCATCAAAAACCTTAATGTCTTTTCGACTGAAGAAAGAATGACATGGACATCTTGGATGACACGGGGGTGAGTAAATTATCGGCAAAAGTTTTCTGAAAAGTGAACTAATCATTTAAAAGTATATTTTTTTGCAACATGTTTTTGCCTAATGAGGTTTCTCAGATTTGATGGTAAACTGCCATTTCACATATGGCAGATCAGTTTGTAGGAAACTCTAGCAGAGGTTACTTTGTATGCGCTTTGGCATTTTACAGCATATTTGACAAAGATACTTATTTCTGAAAAACCGTGAATCTGCTGCTTTTCTGCCTCATTGCTCAGTCAGTCAGTTAACCTTCTAAGGAAACTTCCAATGCACCGTAACATCATATCTAGTCTGAAACAAATTCAAGTGAGCTTCAGATGAAACCTTAGACACATAATTTAGACAAACAATAATTTATTTACTTCATTCAGCCACTTGATTCAGGCACTGCTTTTAACCTTTCGTTATCTAAATGCATGCACATGATTGTGGTATATCGCTATGCCTCCTTCAAACCAACTATAAAAGACCTTAGATAAGATATTACGTCAACAGAGTCAGATGTGCTTCAATGTCTTTCCTGTATGCGGAATTTTTCAGATTTGTGATGCAACCACTGTATTAATCCAGCCTCCAGGGTTTAAAATGTTGCACTGTATTTTTGCTATATATCTTCTAATTTAGAAGATATATTCAGAAAATATATCTAAAATTATACATTTTATAACCCTCAAGTTTAAACCTTTCATGATGATCCAGTGTTGAACAGTAGGGGGTGCTGTGGCTTTTCTGACAACAAAGAGCGGATCGTACAGTAGGATAAGGTTTCCTTCTGATGTCCATCTCCTCCTCAAATATGAGTAAAAATGAAATAAATAAAAGTTTGCCGCTTCAGATTCATAGGAGTGACATCATTCAGATGACATGAGTCAGTGCATTTCCTAATTGGAAAAAAGCTTAAGACCGGTACCAGGTTCATTATGTGATTCCATCTTAAGTCCTTTAATAAACAATTAATTGTGCAATAGAGTGGTTAATTTGATAAGAGGACGATAAACATTTTCATTTGTTTGGGTCGCCATTCATCAGGATCCCACCGGGAGCCGCGGCAGAATGCAGAGCGAGTGATTTTCAAGGATCCCAAGAGGTCAGACATCAATCAGAGGCAAAGCCGAGCTACTCGTCGCAAGCGGCCTAATTGGTATACAGTAAGATCACCTAGAAATGCTGCTGGCAATTCAAAGTCTTCCGTTTTGAAATAAAAGAGATTTGTATTAATTTCAAGCTCAGCTGCGTCTTGGAAATGGAACATTTATTGGTTACACTTCGCTGAGAGTCGTCGGGCATATAGGCTTTCTGTTTTGTGTTAGAAGGTCTGATTACCTCCTTAGATGTTTTAATCCACTTTGAACGAGCCGTGAGGAAGAACGAGAACAGCCGGGGCTCTGACAAATCGTAGGTGCCCGTGTGCCGTAAGGATCCAAATCCATCTTAATTGAAACAAAAGCATCTTGAGATCATTATCCACATTGAAATATGTCTGCCATTTAAATGAACAATCAACAGCTCCTCAATAGTTATTAGGATCATTAGCATCAATACGCACCTGCAAATATGATTACCCAGCAAATACGAATGCTCTCCCATTCTGTATACACACGGAAGGCAGGATCATGTCAGTACTTTAAAGGACAAAATAGTAGGCTACCTGGCTTTGTTTTGTATTACCAGAATGCTATTCCGTCTTGCCCTCTCAGTCTCACACAGTCACCTCTCGTAATAGCTCCCTGGAACAAAATAAACAAGCCACCACATGGCCTCTGCCAGGGTCATAATATCATTTCCAATGGGTAAATGTTTATCATCTCCCTAGTTCTGCTGTGAGGTGCTTAAATAAAACATTTCTTTGAAAATATGAATGTTTTATTGCCCCTCCAGCAGCATCTCTAACCTGAGGTTCAGAAGCTTTCAACTTTATTGAGGGCATGGATACCTTGGGGGAAGGCCCATTTTTTACATGCGTGAATATATTAGTGACCATGCAACGGTGTTTCCAGTAGCACCTCATTGCAGTACATGAGATCCAGGGGGAGGAGTTGGATCCAGATCTAATGGTGCGTTCACACCGGACGCGAATAGCGCGTCGAGCACGAGTGATTTCAATGTTACGGTAAAGATCCACTTTTGCGACACGACAGTCGCGTGTTGTCGCGACGCCTCCCCACATTTGTACTTTGATGGCCGTTCCTCAAGTTTACCGCTATGGCCGTGGTTTTGCAGAGGACCTGCGAGAGAGACTTCCCCCGTCTCCATATGCTCTACTTGGATAGTCGCGGCTCGTTCAACGGAATTCATTTGCATAAAGATGGGCATCGGGCAGCTTTTTGACGCGGCACATTTTTCAAAGCGCTGCCTTCCTGGGATGTTTTTTTTTTTTTTTTTTTTTTTTAATTTTTATTGAATATGTATCAAATAACAAGCACATACAGAGCACAAAAACACATAGAACTCCGACATGTTATTTAAAGTATATAAAGCTTCACACAGGAAAAGAAAAAAATTAAATAAAAAAAGAAATAATAAAAGGAAAAAAGAAAATAAAAGACATACACAGAGGAAGCCTTCCTGGGATGCTTTGCAGGTGCGTTAGAGTTCCGTGACGTCACCCATAGGAATAAAGTGGAGCGTGGTGCGACAGAAGTATCGCACGGACAAGTGGATCCGCACTGTTAAAGGGTTAGTTCACCCAAAAATGAAAATTAAGTCATTAATTACTCACCCCCATGCTGTACCAACCCCGTAAGACCTTCGTTCGTCTTCGGAACACAAATGAAGATATTTTTGATTAAATTTGAGAGCTGTATAACTACCACATTGGCTCCTAAGGGACTGCCTCTTGACGGCCCAGAAAGTCAATGAAGAAAATGTTTAAATATCCCAAGTGACTACCGTGGCTCAACTATATGTTTATCAAGCGACGCGAATACTTTTTGTGCGAAAAAACAAACAAAAATAACGAGTTTATTCGACTATTTCTTTTCTTCCTTGTAGGCCAGAACGAGACTTCCTTATAGATTTCCACGACGCATGCGCGAGAATTGCGATCTGAAGTAGTGAAGCTGGTGTGAGCAGATCGCAAATCTCGCGCATGCGTCGTGGAAATCTATAAGGAAGTCTCGTTCTGGCCTACAAGGAAGAAAAGAAAGTCGAATAAACTCGTTATTTTTGTTTGTTTTTTCGCACAAAAAGTATTCGCGTCGCTTGATAAACATATAGTTGAGCCACGGTAGTCACTTGGGATATTTAAACATTTTCTTCATTGACTTTTTGGGCCGTCAA